GTTCCAATAAAACTTTATTTGTAAAAGTAAGCAGATAATGGTAGGGTGTAGTTTACTGAATCTCAGATCAGCAATCTGCATCACCTACTTCACCCACAACTGCCATCATCCCAGACCACTACAAATCACTTCACCTAGTTCCCTGAAGGTCACTGTTACTCTCTCCAATGCTACTCCTACCATAATTATTTTTCTGATTTCCACTTTATACTCCAGGTTTTGAGACTGAAGTGTGTTATGGTTAGGGGAAGGGGAGGGACTACAAGAAAACAAAATTTGTGACCGTAAAGTTGTCCCTGAGTCCCTGAGCCCTAAGCTTCACAGCTGTAGGGTAAACTTACCTCTGTCCCCTGGGTGCTCTGACTTTAAAAATCCATTCAATACAAATGTCAGGAACCACCTTGGTCACCTTACAGACAGTCCTTCCTGACCTCTTAATTCCCTAAGCTCCTGCCCTCAGAGATTAGTCCTCTGTCCCACCTCAGCCATGTGGTCCTAAGCTTTCATGGGTCAGCAGCTTCACACCTCTGTAAAGCTCACTTTCAGCCATCTGACTCCTCATACGCTGTCTCAGCTAGCCAGCAGAGCTACTCAGAGTCTAAACAGCATTATTCTGCATATCCTGCTTCTGTGCCAGAGACAGAATGGAGATTGTTTTGAAGGGGTTCATGGTGGTCTTTTTTTTTTTTTTTAAATTGGAGTGGCCATCAATGATCTACAGGAAACTAACATTATTAGAAGAACTATACTGTCCAAAGCATCAGCAGCTGGCACTAATAAGGAGTTTGGAATTCCTCAAAAACTCCCATTCCAGAGCATTACCACAGTATGATTTATATCACACCTCCCATGTCAGGTTTGGAGCGAGGAGCCCATCTGAGAGAAAAAGCCCACATGCATGGCATTTGTTACAAAAATCATTGGCAATTTTTTAATATCAATTGCCTGAGGCTCAAATATCAACTGAGGCAAAATAAAAAATCATCTAGAAACTTATAAGGAAGATCTGTGGAAGAAATACCTATATATCAGACTTTCAAACACTTAGATATATTCTTGAGGGAATCTACAAGGCTGTGTTCTATGCACATGACTGGGAAAGACCAGAGGCCAGTCGCTCTCCTCCGGCTGATGCCCTGCACAGACATGTAAATTGCCTTAATATTGAAGGCACATCTCCAACACATACAGTCTTTTGGCAAAGACTGGGAGACATGATGATTTAAGAAAATGTCTGTCCAGTCATTAGCTGACCACTGAGCTAAATGAACAGAAACTTCTGTGGCCAGATACTACAGGGCATATAAGACTTTACCAAATTAATGCCAAAATGTCTTTATGCAAACAAACAATAAAAAAGGCAATAACAAAATAGCCTTATGGCAGGATCTACTTTCCAGAGTTGACACGTTATGTCATCTGAGATATCTACTTTTCAACCAAAAAAAAAAATCATAAAACATTCCCAAAAACAAAAACTAGAAAATTATGACCCCCACACAGGAAAAATGTGCATAAACACTTTTTATGGAAGATGCACATGTTGGACTTACTGGACAAAGATTTTAAAACAGCAATATATAAAGAATTATAGAAAACCATATCTAAACACTTAAGGGAAACAATAAAAATGGCTCTCACTAAATAAAAAGTAACAACAAAGAGAAATTATGAAAGAATCAAATGTAAATTCTAAAGTTGAACAGCACAATAATTGGAACAAAAAATTTTCTCACTGATCTTAGAAATAAATAAAATTACAAGTGCATGCCAATAAATCAGTTAAGGTAGATGAATTTTTAGAAAGACAAACTATTAAAAATGACTCAAGAAGAAATAGAAAATAGACTTATGACCAAGAGATTTGCTTTATAATTTAAAAAACCCACAAAGCATATGGATATAAGCAAGTATGGTTTACTGACTGTAATAACCCAGGGGCCATCTTTAGAGATTAGAAATTAGAGCATACTCTCTAGCCCCTAAAAATTCTGTCCTTTGCACACTGAAAGTACAGCTACATAGATATAAAATTATCCAAAATCTCATATGACAAAAGATCAGTTTAAGGATTTGTGATAAGGATCTTGTCATTTAAGTAAGTCTAGACATACATGAGGTTCATTGGGTATATATTTCTCCCAATGTAGCTTCTTGAATAGTTTCTTTCAATCCTGAAGCCCTATGAACTTCGAACACAAATTATCTGCTCCTCTATATTCCCAGACTGTAATGATGAGACACAGAAAGAAGAAAATACTACAGACCCATTGGCTTAAAAAAAAAAAAAAAAAAAAAAGGAGGAGGAGGCGAGAACTAGAAGCTGAAATCTTGGTGGACACATTTTCTTAGTTCTCTTTATGCCAAGGGGGAACATATTCTTTGCTTTGGAAAAAATTCTGCTCCCTGAGAATGTTCCTTTCTGGCTCCAGCTTCTACCATCTGAATCATTCCTCCTTTTCCCTAAGAGTGAACTATATCTGTGGATGAGGAAATTACTCAGCCCAATTCTGTTCATACAATTCTGGAAGGGCTTGAAACCTCTTTGCATTCTGAAAAGCAATGTCACTGTCTTTAGCCCCCACTGGTGTACTTCTAGTAATATGGTTCTATTGAAAACATTGTTATTTCCTATAAGCCACTGATGTTTACTCCAAAAAACAAAAGCCCACCCATTAATTCCTTCAAACATTGTCCATGATAACTTTGGCAGAGAATCGGGTTACTGTGCGAATAATGCTGTTAAGATACCAAGTATCCCTGGTAGCTAGCTGAGACAGTGTATGAGGAGTCAGATACCTACAAATAAGACCATAGAGATGTAAGGCTAATGACACAAGAAAGCATGGGATCACATGGTTGAGGATCACATGGTTGACTAAGAAGTCAGACAAGAAAGGATTATCTATAAGGTGTAATCTAGGTGGCTACTGAAAATTTGTGTTCAAAATAAAGTACTGTTTTAGTGTGGGAAATTCTCATGAGGCTGTATTGAAGTGATTTAACTGTGGGAAACTGAGTATACACTGAAATGAATTTGTTCAGCCATTTACATTAATGATTATGTTTTCAGATATCATTTCAGATGACTCAACATGAATGAATGAAAGTCATGCTACAAGATGAAAAAAATTATATTCAATAACTTGTTAGAGTTGGAACATAGGTAGATATGCCCTGAAGCTCATGAAGCATGTGTGTCAGGGGTCCTCAATACTTGAACAGTTCTCCCCATCAAAAGCAAACAAAGAAACCTACAACCAGTCACACTTAAGAATGGACATTGGGAAATTCTGCACAAAACATGAGCAAAGAACTTAAATAGCACAATTAGAAAACAATATGCCATAACTGAGCTAGGATGAATTAAATATTAGGTAATCTATTAAATATAATCCATTCAATGAACAGATTCAAGAAAAATCATTTGATAGTTTTCATAGAGGCCAAAAAAGAATTTGATAGAAGTCATTATTTATTCTTGATTACAAAATAAAACAGATAAATTTAAAATGGATGAGTATTCTTGATCGGGGGGGAAAAATTCTGAGATAAAACCAAGATAATATTGTCTATCCCATTCTATTGTTTCTTGCAATTAGATGAGAGGAAAACATGGAGTTATGAAAATTGAGGGGAAAACTATCATTATTAACAATTATGATGATTACATAACTGGAAAACTGGAAAAATCATCTATAAACTATTATGACAAATTCTAAAATTAGGTACAAAATACACAGACATCAAAAACTTTCAAACACACTTTTTTTTAAATTAAAAAAGACATAAGATGGGCTGGGGATGTGGCTCAAGCGGTAGCGCGCTCGCCTGGCATGCGTGCGGCCCGGGTTCGATCCTCAGCACCACATACCAACAAAGATGTTGTGTCCGCCGAGAACTAAAAAAAATAAATATTAAAAAAAATTCTCTCTCTCTCTCTCTCTCCTCTCTCTCACTCTATCTTAAAATAAATAAATAAATAAAAAAGACATAAGCAAAAAAGTCCTAATTTTAAATAACAATTAAAGGATAAAATAACTAAGAAAAGATTAACTTAAGAAATGCTCAAAGTCTAAACCAAGAAAACTACAAAACATCACTGAGCACACACGTGTCTTGAATAAACAGGAAAATGTAACTTGCTTTTAGATTCAATGCGGCTTGGTATAAGCATAAATTGGCACATTACTTAGAATAACCTGTAATTATTGCCACGACTTACAAATGCACATACACTTTGATCTAATAACTCCAATCTCAGGAATTTACCCTAGATATCATCTTGCTCCCATCTGAGAATATGTATATATTAGATTATTCATTGTACAACTGTCTATAATAGCAAAAAATTGCATATTATCCAATTTATCGAATTATGCTATATTCATAAAACAAGATGCTGCAGTGTAAAAGAATAAAGATGTCTATGAACAAAACTCCACAATTGTTGGCAATGTTTACTGTTGGAAATAAGTGCATAGTTCTCTTAAGGAAGGAAAAAAATATCAACATTTAAGCATAATGCCTACATAGAAATAAAACTCGAAATTCTTATGGGCAAATGTCCAAACAGTCATTTTGAATCATTTTATTCATTGACAGATTTTGTCTGAGTTTTATTGTGAAATATTCTAATAAAATATTTTACTGGTCAAAAAGCAAAACATGCTCATGACTTAAAATATTGTACAGATTTGCATAAGATATAAAACAAACATACTCTTAACCCATCCAGTCTCATTTTTCAAGACTCTTTTGATTGACAGAAGTCTAAAAACTATTTCTTGATTTATCACCTTCATTCCAGGAGTGGTATCCCTATTGAACCCCACTTCGAATTTTTGCTGGCCAAATCATTACTATTTCTAGATGCTTATCATGTATTTTGACTTACCAACTTTAAATAGTAGTTCTTGATGCTCTGCTATGCAAGAGGAAGAAACTTACCAATGGACAAAACTCAACAGGATTAAACATTAATTCTAAGAAACAGTTACCTTGTTCATAAAGTAGCTTCATATTGGAATCTTTGCAGGCAACCAGATTGCTGAGTAGGGCAATCACACTTTGCATGGTATTACCCAGAATGCTCTCCTGATGTTCCTGTAATAAATTATAGTCTCCATTACAACCACATAGAAATAAAATTACATCATCATAAAGACAAATGAGATCAATACCTCCATTCTTCCCACAAGGTTAAAGAATTATTTTTTGCATTGTAATGACTCATATCCTTCTGGGTTAAGACTCTTGCCATCAGGAAGTTAAGTGAGCTGAGAGGCTGAGTAAATCACTCAAAAATCAGCCAGAGGTTTGCATGCATTCCTTGCCCAAGAGCTGAGCAAGAGCCACATGCTCCTTTGAGCTTTAGGTGGGTAATAGGTGAACAAAAACCAAGCATATGGAATTTAGAAGACCATACTTGAAAGTGAGGTTGAGATCACAAAAGAAAATTACTCTAAGAAGTATTTCCACATTTTCCAGATTATCCTGGTACTGATAATTGCCCACTTTAGCCTTGTACATCCATGTCGTAATATGACTTATTTTATTACTGCTTTTTCAGTGCAATAAACTACATTTGGGACCTAAAGAGTAGATTTTGCTTTCTTCACTACACTTTTCTTCACTGCAGAGTGTAACTTAGGTCCTTAAGAGAATGTGGAAATTGAGTAATTCTTCAGTTTCTTCTCAATTTAAGGACAAATAAGGTAATTTCTTAGTAGTTTGTAAAGAAGCAAAAAAAAAAAAAACTTGTTTTTTTTGTTCCCTTTTTCATTCCTCTTTTTTAAGAATTAAAAGCAGATTAAATTAGATTTAAGATTTTTCATGATTCAAAAATGAAGAAAAATTCTTTAAGCTCCAGAAGTAGGATGAGGCAATGAGATGCACAAGGTGCAAAACTCAGGCAGTCTTCACATATAGGCTCACACAAGTATTCATTGAGAGCTTCCAAAAGCCTAGCTGGTCCCCTGCCCTGTGACCCCTCTACTGACAGCTAGGCCCATCCCAAGAAGTAACAAGTATGCCAATTGGGTAGGCTCTATTTAAGCCTTTTCCTATTTTTCTCTTTCTTCCTCATACATAGAGAAATGTATCGTTTACTCTGCTTTTAAAAAATATAAATCACATTTATTAATTCATCTAATATAATGAATGAATAGCTATTTTGTGCCAGGTACTGTTCTAGGAAATGGAGATGTACCAGTGAACAAAAACAAAGTCACCTGTTCTCACGTAATAGACCACAAACAACAATATGATAAATAAATTGTCCACTGTGTGAGAAGGTAACAATGATCTGGCAAAAAAGGGACAGCAGGAACACAGGCTTGAGAAGGCAGTGGGGCAGTCCATGATTTTAAATTGGGTGGTCAGGGTGAGACTAAGAAACTGTCACTTTTAAGAAAATTTTACCTTTTATACATGCTAAAACATCTTGGAAGTGCTGGGATTAATTCATGCTAAATAAACTTCTTTCAAAATAACTTTATAATTATGTTACAAAGATAGCATGCAGTTTCCACAGATCTTCACATAGATTTCCTGATACCAGTCAATATTACCATCTTACCTAACCATAAAACCAAGAAATTAACATATAGTACTAATAACTAAATTACAGACTGAATATAAATTTCACCATTTTTCCCTAATGTCCTTTTTTGTTCCAGAATCCAATACAGGATCCTTGTTGCCTCTGGGGTTAATTCATTTTTGCAGCAAATATTTACTAGGTGCCAACTGTTCTAGATCCTGGCTTATATCAGTAAACAAAACAGAGAAAACAAACCACCAAAATTCTTCCCCTATTGTTTACTTTGTAGCAGAAACAGAAGACAATAAACAACAAACATCATAATTACACGACATATCAGAAGGTAATGGGTGGTATGGGAGAAAGGAGAACAGCAAAAGGAGTTTGGGGAAAGGTGGTTTGAAGGGAAGCTTGCTATTGAATACAGCAAGCACAGCTCCTTCAGAGGACAACATTTGAGTCAAGATTTGAAGCGAGGGGTGGTGTTTTTCTTTTAATACACAACTAGGTATACTAGCTAATTTGTTTTAGGATTGTATTCTAAAGTGACATTGCCCCATGAGTGACATCTTTGTCTGATTTTAGTATCAATGTCATGCCTGCCTTGTCCATCCATTTTATTGCATAAGTATTTATTGTACACCTAATCTGAGAGATTTGGCAGAAGAACTCATTCATAAAAGCTCTGTATATCTTTGCTAGATCTTTAAAATTTTAAAAAATCTTCTACGTGGTTTATCTATACCTTACCTCAGTTTGGGTTAAATCCATTTTCCTCGAAAATCATCTATAATGTCTTGAGTTTTCAAAGACATTATAATAAAATCACACACAGTTTTCACTTATACCTTCACAAATCTTCTCTAAAACCTATTTATATTGTCCTTTACCATATCCACTATCTTGTGGATCAGACTCACCAACACTCTATTTATACTATTGGACTTTTCAAGAAACCATCTTTCCATTTTTTGCTTTCAGTGAGTCATTATGAATGTCCACAAATGTCCCCCTCCTCTCTGAGGTATACAGTAGGATGGCATTCCCATGCCTTTTGTAACTGGAAATGACAATGAGACTTCCTTTGGCCAATTAAACTCATTTGGGCTGAAGCTCTAAGAAGTCAGTGAGGGCATCATCATCCTATCTTTCCTCTTGCTCCTGGGACCTTCCAGATGGTAAAATGTTATGTATACATGTGGTGTCCCCCAAAAGCTCACGTCTGAGACAATGCATGAAAGTTTGGAGGAGAAATGACTGGATTAGAGCCTTAATATAATCAGTGGATTAATTTCTACTGGGATTAACTAAGTGGTAACTGGAGGCAGGTGGGGTGAGGCTGAAGGAAGTGGCTCATTGGGGCATGGCTATGGGGTATATTTTTGAATCTGGCGAGTCTCTCTCTGCTCACATGATGTGAGCTGCTTCCCTCTGCCACACTCTTCCACCATGATGTTCTGCCTCACCTTGAGCCCCGAGGAATGGAGCCGGTTTTCTATGGACTAAGACCTCTAAAACCATGAGCCCTCAAATAAAATTTTCCTCTCCTAAAATTGTTCCGGTCAGATCCTTTAGTCACAGCAGGAAAAAAAAAAAAAAAAAAACCTGACTAAAACCTAGAGTCACCAACAGCCTGGCTCCCAGAGTAAGAACATGAAGCAGGCCAGGAGCCCCTTAATAGACACCTGGTTTCCAGAGCTTACAAAAATGCCAATACTGCATATGGCTCTGAAACTCTTCTCTCAACTGACTTGTACCTCCCACTGATGAGAGCTACTTGATTTCATATGGGTTTTACCACCTACATCTTGGTTTAATATAAGACCAGCTGGTTCTTTCCAAATACTGATGCCTAAAAACTTCTAGCTTTAGAAGCATCCACTTAAGAGCACTTTTATAGTGGATGTTAATGTTTGACTGTTTCTCTGACACCAGCTTAAGAAGATTAATGCGAAAGCAATGGTCTGCCACCAGTTTCATCTAATTATTCTTACAGTTGGTTGGAAGGAAAGGGTGATTAATAAGCACCAAGATGACACTACATGTTATTCATGATAAAGTAACTAATGATACATAGGAAACTTATACTTGTGAAGAAAAGTAAAGCTAATAAATCTTTTATTTTTGGTCTTGTTTGATAAAATGACACATACTGTTCCTTATTTAAAGGCCCTTCTATCAGAAAACATGGGTCAGTCTCATTGGAGATAAACCTATTTGATAAACATGGTGGTTTTTTTAATGACTAAATGTGCCTTTTCTATGATACTCTAGACAATATTTTCACTCATTCTGAAGCCAATACTTTCCCTGTGTTCTTGGGGTGAGTGCCACATATTGATACAGGTATTTTCTTTTGGTATAAAAGCCCTTGAAATCTGTTGCCTTCAGACACTGAGAACCCAGGATCAGATCCTAGCAAACAAGGTCCTGGCTGCTAGCCTGAAAATCTTGGATGACTACAGATAGAAGGCTGCTGCCAACCATACCACTCGATCTACAGAGATGTATGACACTGAGGCATGCCCTGGTCTCCAGGACCCCCACTAGTGTTATTACTAGGGGTATTCTGTTCATCATTACCAAAAAATATCAATTTATATCTCAGTCTTATCTGAATTTGATGCACAGAATAAAGAAGAAATTAATCATCCTGCAACCACAACTGGTTTCCTTTCCTAGACATTATTTAAAACATTATTTTTTGTTGTTGGGTTTTAAACCATTCATAGATCCTGAACTTTATTCAGCATAAAGTAAACTCTATTTAAAAAAATTACAGAATCACCTTTACTTGCTTTTCCTCTTATAAGCATCCATTATTCTAAACAGCACAGATGAGGGAGACTTCAGAACACAGTAACTGTTCCTGCTCAAGATGAGGACATGGTCCTCTAGGGGAACTAAGACAGCTATTGCTAAGGACTAGATCATAATTTCCCCGGAAAGAATGCTAAATACATGTGAAGAGCAGTTGAGAAGGTATAAATGTGAATTAAACACACTTCTATTAACTTTTATCAAATTGAGTTATTTCATCTCTCTCAGCAACTTTAATAAGATTTGTTCTTGTTCACAACCATATTAGCCTACAAGGGATAAATTATGCATTGAAAAGCACCACATTTACTTGTTAAAGTCATAGTGGAAGATTATACAAAGGGAGAAACATGAGAGTAAATATGTGGGACAGAGTTCCTCTTGGGCACGTCTGAGAGACTGTGTGGAAGGAGATAAGGGACACATAAGTTTGGTTCAAAGACTGCAGGCTAATGTTGGAGGGGAGGGATGGTTCTGATCAAAGACTGTCATCATTAGATGCTCCTCTGGGACAACCCCTTCCTCTCCTCCAAATTTACGTCCCAGGGTAAAGGACAATACAAAAGGCTGAGTAAAATCCTTTTTTTTTTCTCCCTCCAATCCCCATAGCTCACTAATAAAGAAAGCATGGAGTCCATAGCACTGGTATCCTGATATGTTTAAGGAGAGTGGGGGGAGGGAAAGGAGACAACAGAAGCAGGTGATGACCTGCAACAGGACCTTCAGAACGCAGGGTTTAAGG